TTCGGACCGGTAACTATTTAAATAAAAAGTCTTGTCTAAAGGCATAGAGGTCTGATTGGTGACAACTGAATCACGTTGCTCTTAAGGATAGTGTTTACCAGCCACTTCAGGAGGTTAACAAAATGTGACACAACCATCACAATCCTGGAATTCCTTGATCCAACAAGAAGGCCAGGAGGACAGAAAACCAAGTCTTTCTGGGGGTCAAAAGGTTGGGTAAAAAGACAGTTATATCATAACAGGAGCAAGGCTGGACTAGAGACATTAATAAAACTGTTGATTTGGATATTTCCAAGGCTGCGACGTTTGACGGATTAATTTTTCTGTTTATAACTTATTAATAACCTTAGTTCAGGCTTATTTTGGCTGCCAAGGCTAGTTGCTGGCCATCCATTTTTAAACGTAGGGAGAGTAATTCTGGGTAAGGACAGCTGAACCTGTCCACCTGACTTGGGGCTTATTGTGAAAGCTTGGCAGCCTGAGAAAACGGCAGGAATTACCAATTGAAAGAAAAGGCAATTACACGGTCTCAGGAGGAGGCATGTAAAACAAGATTTGGACACAGAGCTTGCGCTCAATAAATTTTCATTTGTACAAATTTTCCTTGCTGAAGAATTGCAAAACAGCCACAGTGAGATTTTGGGAATTGTCAGAATTCTCAGTGATAAAAAAAAGGGCTAATAAACACTAAAATATCTGCCATTAAACAAACAGTCAGTAAATGAGAAATATTGTTTGTGAATTTGGGGGATTGACTCTTTAATAAGCTGATCATCAATCCTCGTTTACAGAATTACATTTCACAACTGCGGAGCCTCCTTAACTGAGGCCAGGGTTACAAGAACATTGAGCATTCAGCCAGTATCCACGGACATTTGCCTATTTCTGCACAGGTGGGGGGGACGTTCACCCTCTCGGAAACACATTTATTTCCTCCATGGAGTTGATTGAAAGTAAACAAAAAACCAGAAAACCATAATGATGGTGAACTTGATTCTGATCACACACTCCAACATGGCGGCATACTTACACCATGGGAATTGGGGCAGGGTTTTAGGAAGTCAACTGGGGCAAAACTGACCTACCCTGGATCATGTGGTTTTGGCCACTTGTGCAGCTGGGTAGTCCTACGGGGAAAGACGTGCTCTTGGAACAGTTGGGTCTTGACCGGCTGCACCGCTGGGCCTGAGATTAGCTGGGTTTTGGAAGTCACGGGGACAGCGAGGGCTGACAGAAGGCGAGTGGTGCATGACAATTGAAAGGGGTTTTGGACTGACAGGGACGGGAATGGGAGGGAGAGCGCTCGTAGGCCATTGGATTCAGAGAAGGGGAGGCGATGGCGGGGGAGGGGGTGTGGTGATGAGGGCTGAGGGAGGGCGGGATTCGCCGTTACTGCGCTGGAAAAAGTTGTCCACACTCTTGCTGCGCATGACTGATTTGAAGGACAGGGAGCGCTTCAACCGCTGCAACTGGAAGACAATAAACAAGACAAACAACAACAATTACAACTACAACTTTTTTTGTTCCAGACAAATGCAGATAATTTAACTAAAAACTGCAAAATATACCTGACTAGGGAAGTGAGAGTACACAAGAACACATTTACCAAGTCAGAACAATTTGGTTGTTATTTCACAAGCTTAACAAGATTTATGTATGTGCTTTTGCGTGCTCTTAGTGGTTTGAAGTGGGCTGGGCTCAGGCTGAGAAAGGTGATCTTACATACTTTGATGCACCAATCAGAAGTTAGCAACATCTGATCAAGATGTGACAATTGTTGAGGGATTGTTTGTTAATGTTTCAGATTAATCCACACCCACAAAGTCCTTAGCAAATTAGTTAGGTTTTTCTATTAAACTCTTAATAAGCAATAACTAAGAATGTTATTTTTTTTTAACTTTAAATGTGCTTGTTGTATAACCAAATACTTTTTGCTATGACATTGAAAACAAGTCAGAATTATTGCCAAGATTTCCAAATACAAATTTGACTTGGTATTTTGATGTATAACAATAAACATAGTAAGAGAACAACAAAATTAACAGATAGATAGATGGATAGATAACTGTGACATAACAATGGGTGAAATTTGAAAGCACGAACAGTCATACTGTTCAACAGTTAGCTCTACCCTCTGACTGTCCTTGCCCTGCCAGGTTGGGTTCTGATCTTCCATCTTCAGCTTTTTCCCGTCTTTTCCTTAGATCACAAATTTGCCATCCCCTGCGAATCCACCAGGTCAATAGCCCTTAAAATTCACGTTTGATTAGTTTTATTGAGCGGCCTGCACCTTCGCATTTGATGCAGTCAGTGATGCACGGCAAACACTGTGTTTATCTTTGACTCTGCCTGCCTCCATTTCCCGCACGCTCGCCATCCACTGCTTTTGGTTACAATAAAGGGGAATGATAATGGCAAACAATTACGGGGACTTCGGTGAGATGGGATCCAATATATGGATAAAAATAACTGCTTTGGACTCGTAGATCAAGACAAAGGCCTGGAGAATGAGGGCAAGGATGTAATAGGTCCCTGAGACTGAAGAGTACCTCGTCATTTTGCACAGAGCTCATTAGCCATCTACGTTAGCGACTGGTTGACTCCTGCCTCAAAATTCAAAAAGTTTATACAGATTTTTATTTTAATTGTGCCTTTTTGTGACATCAACATGTTTCTCCTTGTAGCGACGTTTCCTACGAAACCCGTTATGTATGTTTTCATATGTTCATGTGTGAGATGGTAGCATCCTCATCATGTCTATTGCACCTTTGAGCTTTGAAAGCCCATCGCACTCTTTCGCAGAAAATTCAATCAATAGCATTGAGCAGGTTCCTCTTTTTCTTCTTTAAGCTACAGATTCACAGATGCCAATTAGTTTGAGTGATGAAAAGAGTCTTCTCTGTTGACTCATTAGTGAGTGCCTCTTGTGAATGTTTTCTACAGGGAGCTGAGTCCAAGCTTTCCTTAATGGCCTTTTCTTGGCTCGACTGGTGGCCCATTCAGTAATGGATGTTCCTCTCTATTAGATTTTTAACTTGTCTGACTTTGTTAATCTTCTCTGTGGTGAAGGCCGGCCTTTGCTCCAGTTCCAGGGGAAAAGGAACAATTTCTTTTAAGGCACAAACTAGGGAACACATGACTGATAATCAATAACTTAATATACCTCCCTGAGCTTTTACACAGATTAAAGAAACAAGACTCATCTGAAGATAAAGGAAGAAAATGTATTTAAGTCATTTTACAGGGTCCTTGGGCTTTCATATGGACATGAGCCAGTGCTTCAGAATTTAACTCGCATTAAAATCTATATAATCCACAGACCTGCTTTGATGAAAACAATAAATAATTGTTGAACGTATAAAGTTTTATCGTGTGGTTTTATATGGTGTATCCATTATTCAGCAGTTTCTGCATCTACATTATCCCATTTGTCCTAAACTATAAAGTTTAAGCACAGTCGAAGAAATAAAAGTGTTTTATGACTGGTGTCAAAATGTAAAAAGATGCAATGTAGTTTCTGAAGCTCTCCTACTGCTCTGGGCACTTTAACAGTTTATCATTAGCTGAAGAAAGCTGACGATATGTGCACTTTTGGTCCGGGGGTTGTTTAAGTTTTCATTTAATTACAATTAAGGGAAATGGTAATGAGATATTTTAAACAAGTGTTGGAAGCACACGCTGTGTAGCAACAGTTTGGGAAAGGCCATTTCTTGTTTCAAATGACAATGTCTGCATACACAAGGTGAGGTTGAATTTTGTGGACTTGCACAGAGCCAAGACCTCAACCTCATCCAACACTTTTTGGATGAACTGCAATGCCGACTGCATTCTCTTGTGTTAATGGGAGCAAATCCCTGCAACTGGTTCCAAAACTCTTAAGGAAAGCATTCTTGATGTAGGGGCTGTTGGTTTTGGAGTGAACCGTTCAACAATCACAAAAAAAAGTTTGAATATTCAGGTATCCACATGCTTTATTTGACCATGTACGGCCATGTACAGCAGTGTATGTGCTCTGATGATTTCACATTCAGGACCAAGGACAGTTCTATTTCACAAATGTTTTGTCCTCTGTAACTGTGCACTGCAGTATGCAAGTATGTGAGGGCTCTGGTGGGCTCATTCTGATTGGATAAACTAGTATGAGTGTGGTGCAGCATACAGAGCCAATAATTCCTGTTAGAGGGACATAACAACATAGAACAATAACCTGTGGTCTTTAACATCTCTAGGCAAGTTAGTTACGAGGAAGCACTCAATAAAATCCAGTTATTTACCGTATTATCAGTGGATATAAGTAGTAATACAACAAAAACATCATTGCAGTTGCCTGAGCATTTCAAATTTGGGAGCTGCAGGGCATCATGCTGCACACTATTATCGTGATTAACTCCCATCCTTTATGGTTACTCCAATGTGTGGCTTTGTGTTATAATGTGTAGGATAGTTGCTAGTATGAGACATATGGTGTGTGCATAAACACAAGATAAACCAGCTTCACTGTGCTTTCCTATTTTCCATAACATCCTCCCCTGAAAAACAGAACAGAAATCAAAAGCAGAGTTCTAATGAATGCAAATCTCTACGTTTCTCCATGGAGCTCTTGTGTCTCTCTGTAAGGTTTTGAAAAGTCTATTTATGGATCACAGAACTGGGGACCCATCACTCTCTGAACTACTGACAGCAATTAGCTCATCACAGTGCGAGTAGTGTACTAGAACAGATTGTGGTTTAAAGAAGGAAATGAAGCAAAGAATAAAAGAAAAGTATGAAGGCGGCCATAGAAAGTGAAGAAAACAATGAGTTAAACAGAAGGAAGAAATGGGAAAAACTGCATAGTGAGAGAAAAGATAGACTCAAAATATCACACCACCACCATCAACCCCCGTCGTCTTTGAAAGCCCGACAATGCACCAGGCCTTTCTCTATCACACCTCTGAAAGACGAACGGCACAGTGGTGAGACAGAGCAGACGTCTCAGCCTTGTTCTTCGGCCATTTAAAAATGAGCGCAGAGCGTAGAGATGTAAGGTGAAGGCTTCTAAAAATAGGCTGTTGTGAAGAACGCCTGGATAAATTAATGATTAAGAAGTGGGGGTGGGAGGAGGGGTGTGTGTTCACACAAGAGTCATCCTGCTGCTACTACGATGCAGTTGCATCTCCTATATTTTCTCTGTGTTGACTTATTTTTTGTTGTGTTTTCATTACCTGGTGTACCAATAGCCCAGAAAAGACAAACTGTACACTGGCTCTAGATAGGGCCTTTAGCTTTTTCACAAGGTTTGTCGCCACAGTAATTTCTCCTACACGCTTGGAAGGCAAGTGGTTTTCAGTTGGGTGTTTAACTAGCAATCTTCAGGAAAGAAACTAAAACTGAACACAATGTCCTCCTTCTTTGGATCAGTCTGTAAACATGGTCTTCTGCCCTCACTATGTGTGTAATGTGGGTGTACAGTAGGTTCGTAACGGTACATGTGTTCGTTCCAAGTCGTTTGGTACAGGACGTTCAGTTTAGTATGCGACTGCCTCAGTTTGGTACACCCTGTGACCCAAACAGTTACTGTCATAATTGCCTATTTACGTCTACTAATCACCAGACCAGAAATCCTAAAGCGTGGGTTTTATCTAGAAAGTTTTGGCAGTGCACCACTTGTTTGTTATATTATTGTCAATATGCCATTATTTAGTGCATTAACTGTTACAGTAAGAATTGAACACCACTAATGAGCTACTGCTAAATGTTTACATTTTCAAAATAAATGACAAAAATGTTTTTTTTCCTACATTGTTTTGTTTTCCCCAACAAACAGCTATGCAGCGAGCTAAAAACGTTTCTAATAAAAGGTTGAAGACAGGGGATTTCCTTTAAAGTATACACTGGAACCAACTGTGAAACTATGAAAACCCGACAACAAATGTGACAACAGTGATTACAAATCAGAATAAAAGATGAAATATCATAAACAGCAGTTAAACCGAAGGTGTTGAAAAATTATAGCATAGTAACAAGACTTGGGATTCCCAAAAGGTGTCATTCAAGTATCACCAGTGAAAAATCTACATTAAAAGAGTAAATTACAGCAATTAACAGTTAATCTACATAGAATGTTGTATTAGCGACACATTAGCCGCAGACAGCCAGTATAATGGCTAGCTTGGTTAACAATCATAAAACAACTATAGTAAAATAGAGTAGCTACAGATAATGCACCAATAAAAGCATTTGGAGAGTACATAAAAGATGCTTGTTAACATCTGCTTGGTCACAGATCTGACAAACGGCTGGATGTTACAATGCCAGGTCAACTGTAACTGCTGGGGATGGATTATGCAGATACATAAAATGCTTTAGGCCATAAAAATATGCATAAGCACGTTGCATCTCGTTTATAAGCCTAATTTGGATATGAAATGCTTGTTTATCCATAGCCTGGCACCAGTAACATCCTCGCACAGTGCCAAAGCTGCCTTTG